CCTGCAAACAGGGGACCAATAGGCTTTGATCCTGGTCCAGTGAATCCTTTTTATTTAACCAAACAAATATTCTGGGGATATTCGTGTTTAGTGAGTCAGTGAAGAAGTTGCTTGGTTTCCTTTTCCCTCCCTCTCTCCTCTATTTACAGGAGAAGGTATTACTCAGGAGAAAGGAATGAGGAAAGCACAAGAAATTATCTCCTGATAGAAATGACAGGGCCCATCCTGTAGACAAACTCGTGCTCTCCCATGAAGGTGGCTGTGTGGATCTTGGGAGAATATGCTGTATTTATAACTGCGTTTGTCCAGGCTTCTTTTTTTTCCTTTTTCCTTCTGAATCTGAAGTCTACCCAGAAGTGAATTCAACAATGATACAAGTGTATCTCAGTGTGCATACATGTGCTCTCCCACACACATACCGCAGACAAAGCTGGTCTGTGGCACAGGCTGAACTCAATTAACGAAAGACTTTGTATGCACAATAACAAGGTGCACACTTTCTTGGGATAGCTCAGTCCTCCAGAAGAGAACTCAGGGAGAAGTACTGCAGGAAGATTCAGGTGCTCCTGAGGTCTCAGTCTGACTCTCCTCACCCATTCGAAAAGCCACCCAGGAACCACACAGTTCTGCTGCTTGTTGGTGGGAGCAAAGTCAGCAACATGTCTTTTTGTTCCAAGCTTCCAATTCTGCTGAGATGTTTCAGGCACGCATGATATAATGACAGCGTGCTGCAGCCTAGAGGCACGGTGGAAGAGCTGGTTGAACATGCTGTGGAGCTTCTTGGTGGCCACGCAGTGGGGACATGCTGCAAGGCACAGATGCACACTGTTTGCACAGCAAAGATGAGAGTGAGTTCTCTCCCATTCAGCCTGCAGAAATCCTATTTTTCCATTCTAAGTTTTTTTTTTTTTTATCAGCTCTCACATTCCTACAGTATGATGCCAGCAAGACACAACCTGCAGCTAGTACCTTCAGACAGCTCAGCAGGCCAGGTGCATTAACACAGAAGACCAGCAGAAACACTGGTGCTGGGCTCCTTGAGCGGGAAAAAAATTGTGGAATTGGACATCAGTGCCTTGAGCAGCCCAGGCATTGACATTCAACATTGGCTTCCAGAGATCCCAAACTATGTCCTGAGTTGAAGAAGACTGGCGTGGCTGTTCTGGTCCTCCTGAGCCTCTGCAGATGTAACAGCGGGGTTAGTAGGTCTTTCTTCCTCCAAAAATCATGGCACTTTCCTTGTCCCACCCCAAGTCCAATAGCTGCCCTTTTTTCACTGAACAGAAATTTCCAACAAAATACATACACCTCAGGAAGGATGTGGGAATGCGACTTGGACTGTCCCATCTTGGTTATACCAACCTGAAATATTTCAGCACAAATCATTAAGGCAGGTTTTCCCACCCCAGCACATCACTTTATGAGAGTTGCTTACCTCCTTGTTATCTCTCTGCACCACACCATGTGGCCACATCATAGGATGTGAGGAAGTGAGGACAAGAGGAAATGTCCTTGAGTTGCACCAGAGGAGGTTTAGTTTGGATATTAGGAAAAAATTCTTCTCAGAAAGAGTTGTAAGGCACTGGCACAGGCTGCCCAAGGAGATGGTGGAGTCGCCATCCTGGGAGGTGTTCAAGAACTGTGGAGATGTGGCACTGAGGGACATGGTAAATGAGCAATATTGGTAGTAGGTGGACGGTTGGATAGTATGATCTTCAAGGTCTTTTTCAATCTTAATGATTCTATGATTCTATGAGGTACCCAAATCATGTTCCCATGCTGCACCATACAGAGGAACAGCGCTGCTCATGTAAGCAGCCCCTTTATTCTGGCATACCTCTCTGTAAGCCATCAGATTCAAAGCTTCCACAGGTGATACAGAAATACAGCACTTAAACCAACCTCGTAGCCCCCAGATTTGCCTGTACTTAAGTGTGGGCAGAAGCATCTGCTGATGTGAGCAGCAGGGAGGTGCTCAGCAATGCCAGACTTGGTGGTAGAGCCCTGCAGAAAAAAAGCCCGAAGTCCTTCTGTGAACTGAATGCTTCAGGGAAATATTTTCTGCAGCTGCGGAGCCAAGAGCAGGAGTGCACCATTCAGCAACATCAGCTATGGAAACTCAGGCCTGAGGTCCCAAACCATACCAAAAGTCTTAGAAATCTTTTTGAATGATTATGGACATGCAGTGATGGCCATCTGCTCACACTTACTCCTTTCTGGAAGTTACTCTTCTCTTTTTGTACCAATTCCATAGTGATGTGTTCTTAAGAATCAACAGATACATGTAAAAATGGCAGAATATTAGTACATGGGACTTTAGAACCAAGCTCTTAGAACAACCACCATGAGAAAAGAGGCACAAAGCATGGTCCTATTCAGGAGGTGGCATCACTGTAAGGGCAAGCTTCTTCAGATACGTTTAGGCATGACGCAGGATCTCTCCCTTGTGATTCTGAAACCCGTGCCACTATTTCCACTCTGTACATCTTTATTGTATTTAACAATGCTGGTATCTATAGATTCCTTATCACTCACAGGAATGGTTAATAAAATCAATCTCAGAACTGTATATCCCCAATAACACTCATTACACCCATGCATGGAATACCAGTGTAATATTTGCATGGAGATGAACTCAAGTTGTTTATATTGTGTTTCTATTTACTGCTGGAAGTGATAATTGCTGGGCTGGGCAGAGGCTGTCTGGGTCATTCTCAACTCAGATTCCAAAGAAGCTCAGCCTACTACGAGTGCGTTACATCTCATCCTTTGTCAGTCTCCTCATCATAACTGTTGAATACATTGACTAATTTCATCTCAATTTTACACAGCAGTAGAGGTTTTGTGGTGGTGGGAGAACTAAGGACAGAATCATAGAATCACAGAACCATAGATTCACCTGAGTTGGAAGGCACTCTTAAAGGCCATTCAGTCCAACTCCTTTACAGTGTGTAGGGATACCTACAGCAATGTAAGAGTGCTCAGAGCCCCAACCAGCCTGACCTTGAATTCCTCCATGGGATGGGGCTCTCTGGGCAGCCTGTGCCAGTGCCCTCCACCCCCGCTGTAAATAACTTCTTCCTTATATCTAATCTAAATTTCCCCTCTTCTAGCTTGAAACCCTTTTCCCTTGTCCTGTCGCAACAGACCCTACCAAAGAATCTGTCCCCTTCTTTCCTATAGCTCCCCATTAGATAAGGAAAGGCCTAATCTCCCTGGAGCCTTCTCTTCACTAGGCTGAAGAACTGCAGCTCTTTCAGCCTGTTCTCATAGGGTAGGTGCTCCATCCCTTGGATGGAGTAGAGACCCACAGAACTGGGATTTATTAATTCCACTGCTCAAAGGACAGCTCGTTTGGAACACTTCAGTATCTCACAGTCCTGAGGTCATGCATGGCCATTGCCATGACAGTGGGCTATCAGGTCTCTAGCTTTTTTCCCCTTTCTGCAACACACAGATTCTCAAACACACAACATAGACTTGTTGTTTGAAGTGAAAACAAAGAGAAATTTGTCCTTACTTTCCAGTGCTAGGGTAGCATGTTTGGGGTCATACCATCACATCTATACATCAGCCCTAATCACTCAGTGTTATTACATAGGTGTTGGGTCTGTAATCCACAGGGGTTAAAGCCAAGACTGAACTTCAGGTGGCATGAGCAGTGCACTATGCAAAGTGCAGATTCACTTATGCTCAGGTGCTTCTGTGTTCAGCCACTCATCTGCAATCTAAAAGTCAGGTGTCGCTTTCAGAGTTTCGGTACAACCAGACACGTTCCTCCACGGAAGAAGTAGAAGATCAGAGAAGATAGAAAACAAGGCCAATAGAACTGGATGCCTATTAGGAAGAATTTCTTCTCAGAAGGGGTGGTGAGGCACTGGAATAGGCTGCTCACGGAGGTGTTGGAGTCACCATCCCTGCAGTGTTCAGGGAAAGGGCAGAAAAGGAAAGGTAGAGGCACTAAGGCATATGTGGGCAATAATGGTGGTAGGTTGGAGTGAATGATCTTAGAGGTCTCTTCCAACCTTAAAGATTCCATGAGTATATGATTCTATGAAATAAGAGTAGGAAATCAAAAGAGAAGAAAACTATGGTTGGAAAGATAATCTTGATTTTATTCCTCAAAATTTTTTAATTAAGGGCTTTTCCTAAGCACTGAGAAGATGTCAGGCAGGAAGAGGGAAGATGCCTTTTAAAGGTAAAAATGATGTGAAAATATTAATAGCCACTAGTAGCAAATTGATGGTGCTGCTCTTTCTGTGGTTTCTCAAAGCTTAGTTTTGAATGGGGAATGCAACAAAGCAAAGCACTCCCAGAACCAAGCCTTTGTCTTGTACTTTCCACTGAACGCCATCGGCTTAATTCCACACAGCATGGAGTCGGGCATTACCCTGAAGGCATTTTTTTAATGCCAAAATTGCAGTAAAAGGCTGTTATTCACATTTCCTATTTTTCATCAAAACCAGTGACTGTGCAAATTAATCAGCACTTCCTGTTCCCAACCTTTCAGCAAGCGCACGTCTCAGTTTGTGCTCCTCTCCCATTGCAGAAGAGAAATAAAGATGCACTTGAGAAAGGATGGATCCCTGCCTGCATGTTATGTCTGCAAGAACAAACATCAGACTTGTCTGGACAGGACACGATCTCAGTAAGGGCTTTGGTTCTCAGCAGTGGGAACACGTTGGGACAGTGGTTGTTGTTCCTGCTCCAGCCCTCAGAGGACACCACCTTGTCCCAAGGCAGCATTGCTATACTGTACTGTGTTATATCCAGATAACCTGAGGATGTAAACCCATGATGCCTTCACATATGTTGCAGTGTGACCACGTGCATGAATGTCCAACCTTTTGTCTTGCTTAGGTCACAGTGGAATAGTCTTGGGCCTCATAGAAAAAACATAGGTTGCTCGAAAGTAATGCTTTCCATTTATTTCCATGGTAAATACAACAGATACAAAGACCACAATAACACTATTTGATAGAGCAAATTTTCAGCTACGAAACACTATTTTTCAACATAGTCACCACCGTCAGCTATTCATTTTTGCCAGTGATGAACAAGAGCCTGCATGCCAAGCACCACCATGCAGTGGCCACACTGCCACATGACCCATCGTGCATCTCAGCACAGTGGGGAAGTTGGGCCCAGGCCTCCACTGCTCCATGCCCTTTCCAAACTCCTGTGTAATCCGTGAGCCACAACACCAGTTCCAGCAGAGGACTACCCTGTCTGGCTGTACATTTCAGCCCAGTGATCAGCAGCAGCATGGAGAATGGGTTGGTGTTCAAATGGCTATAATTAGGCTTCAAAGCAACCATTATGATGAAAGGGGAAATCTCACATTCCTCCTTTCCACACTATCATTTCAGGGTGTCTGGCAGCACCCCAAGAAGACAAAACTGCATCGCCTTGTGCCACCAGGGCTACCTGTTTGCAAAGAATGTCTCACCTTTGCTTTATAAAGGCATTTTTCTGCAGGAAGAGAAGCCGTGCCCTTTTGAATTAAACATTCTCTTTTCTCCGTGTCTGTGGGCTGTTATCTGCCCGGTATTTGAGCACTTTGCAAATATTTGACTGGAAACGACATGAGATAAGGATAGGTGATGATCTACTGGCGCAGTGGGAGGCATGCTCCACCGAGCAGCTCTGTAACTGCAGGGGTACTGATAAGGGTCACCATGCTGCTGCTCAGTGCTGGTACTGGCTTAGTATGGGCTTATTCTGAACAACATTACTTTTCTTTCCAAGCTGTCCACTTTACGGAATGGGGGATCTCCTGCCAGGGTCAGTCCTCTGTGCTATTCCAGCGCTTTTCTTGAGGATATTAACAGTTTCCATCCTCCTCCTAATTCCATGCCATAAAACATCCCTCTTACTCATGCAGAACACTCCGATCCGCCCCCTTGCCTCCTGGCTAATTACCGTCATTATCCGGCTAGACAAACTTGTCGGGAGATAGGATCTCCTCCCAGCCAGGGTCAGCGCAGGAAGCTCTGCCATCTGCCACTGTGTCAGTGTCACCTCTGCAGCTCTGGTTCCTGTCAACCAGGAGAGCAGAGGAGCACTGCCACATCGAAGCTGCTCCAAAGGCTCCTGTGCTCTCACTAATGTTGGTGGGCAAAGGACACACTTACACTCTTACTCCTGGTAGAGGAGTCCTCCTTTACAGATGCTGAAAAATACATATTGAGCCCATTGCCTGGATGTATCATTAATGAGATAAATCATGGAATCCTTCACTCTGAACTTCACAGTTCACCCTAGCACAAACCCCAGGTTTCTGTGCACTGAGGATGTAGGGCTTGTGCTGAGAAAATGGAGGAACTTCCACCTTTCACCTAATTCCTTTCCTGAGTAGGTGAGAACACTCCTTCCTCTCATAAACCTTGGGTGACTCCTCACTTTGCACACACAGCCTGGCATGCCCAGCAGTGGTGTGTCACTGCTGTACCAAATAACTGTGCTGCGTGGTACCAGCCCTGAGGCACCAGGGACATCTGTATCACTCCATGGGTGCTCCAGAACGGAAATGTGCACATTTATGGGCTGCTGCAACCATGGTTACAGCGAAACAAAACACTCCCTCAGCTGCTGTGGTGACCCACACTGGGGATGGTTCCAGCTCTTCTGAGCACCTGCAGGGCTGCAGCCAACCTTCTGAGGCTCAGAGATCAAAGGGATTGTGCTGCAGATTCAAGCTCAGCCCCATCTCTGTCCAGAGAGACCATCTGGAGTCCTGCAGTTGCCCCTGAGAGAAGGAGACATTGGCAAGCTGTGGCCACAGTATGACCATGACATCCTGATGTATTGGATGCCAATTGTGCATTGGTTGACTTTCACCTCTCTGTGCCCCAGTTTCCAGATCAGTGAAAGGAGGACAACAGACACCATCAGCTTTGAGCTCTCCTGATGGAAAAAAGCCAGGTTACAGCGTGGGTCTTCTTTATACCCTCTGCCAGACCCTGGAAACATTCACCAGAAGGAGGCAAGAAGCAGCAGTGCAAGAAGGGTACTCCAAACCAGATGTGGAAGAAGGGATGCTCTAGACAATAGTCCTCTGATTCATCCTTAGAGCAGGCCCTGTCCTGCATAGGAAAGGAGGCAGAAATAAAATGTTGCCTGTGTGTGTAATGGGGCTCTGTCATCAGGCATACACATAAGGCAGCCAAATGAGTGCTGTACAGACATGCTATTTCCAAAGGTACCCAAATACAGGAAGTATCCCACTTCCTTCACAGTGGCTCTATTTGAAGAAACGTGTGATCCAACCAGCTCTGGGTGAACTCCACCACCTGGCTGTCTGTGCAGCATGGCAGTGAGCATAGTGGGTGAGGACAGTTATACTGGTCTGCCTTCAGAGTCTTCTCAGCATTCCCAGCAACTGGAAGAGCACCTGTGCCCTAAATTTGTGCTGCAAATTAGATGCACTCTGAGAATACATTTGTCAGTAGATTATTAAGCCTTCTGCATCTCCTATTCTTCCTTTTCTCCATACTTCCACATTGGTTTTGCCAGTTCTGTGAGATCTGAGTGATGCTTAGGGTCACCCTATGACAATATCTCAAACGCGGGCTACACACGTCAGAATTCTTACCCCCAGCTCAAATTCTTTATATTAATGAAGATAGACAGAGAGCAAAGTGCTCCAACCTGCAGCCAGTCAGTCTGGGTACCTGCCTGAGATAAAGCACTGCTTCCAGGCCTGCTCTGCTGGTTTCAGTGATTTCTGTCTCAGAGCTGTCTCTGAGTGATGGAGCTGCTGACCTCCTGGTCGTGATCCCCCTTCCTCCCTCCCACCTGCAACTCTTCTCTCTGGCACAGCGATACCATCTTTCTCTCCACTGTAGCAAAAGAGGCAAAATGCATTGGGCCAAAAGGCTTTTGGGCCAAAAGGAATGCAGAAGGGCAAGCCAGCTCTGTGAGAGCAACACCAGCTCTGCTGCCTCAGCAAGCAGCAAGCTCCACAGCAGGAGCCTGTTACTCTGGGTGGAATAGGGAGAAGTTTCTCTTTTGACCCAGGCACAGTTGTGGATGAATGATGTTAGAAGCTGGAATGAGACAAGGCTGGTGGAGATCTGCGCTTGCAGCACAGGCATACCTCAAGGATCAGTTTTTCTCTATTGCTCCTGAAAATGCCTTGCAATCCATTGAAAGGATTTCATTGTCATGCAAACGTTCTGCAAGCCAGAATTGCATAAGTTGCACCAAATGACCCTATGTAATTATTTGCTGCACATCATTTTGTCACAGAGTAATGTCTAGATAGCCTTCCTGATAGAGAGCAGGAAGTCAAGGCCTGGGGATTGGTGTTAGGAAATAGCCTCTATGTGCTTGGCCTGTCCAAAAACCATTGCCCGGGATGGATTTTTCAGTTTTATTGGTCTCACAGTCACCTCTCTACATTCCCTTGTGCATTATACCACCTCAGTACATTTATCTTTGGGGCTCTGATGGAAAGGAACTCTTCAGGACCCTCCATGTGCCTTAGGATGAATCAGAATTCACAGCCATGCAGAAGCCCACTAAGTGGTTTCTCTGTGGGTACTCACGTAGCATTTACCATAGTCACGCTGTCCCCCAGCAGAGCACAGGGCTGGACTTCGGCATCAAAGAATGAATTCTGAGCTCTGTCTCAGGGCTCTTGAGGACAGTGATGCCAGGACCATTAGGATTTCTGCTGGAAAGAAATGTGCAGTTCCTGGCACAGAAGCCTGGTACTGCATACATAGGTGGAGGCCTGTACCTCCATCAAATCAGTACATGCATCGCAGTGGTCCCTGCATGCGATGTGGGCCTGGAAGGTCTTTCTCCACCCCAACCCCTATTCCTGCTATGGATAAGTGCAGCAACATCTTCTCAAGACCAGAAGTAACACTGATAACACACACTTTGCCTGTGGGATATACACTTTGAAAAAAGAAAAAAGAAATTAAAGACAGTAACATAACACTCACACCATTATGATCCCTGGGTGCATGTGCTTTGGATCTTTATAGGTCACTTCTGGAGCAGTTCACACTTTGGATTTTCAATATGGGCAGTGGCAATGAGTTCCACACGTAAATGATGCATGAGAAAGATGAAAAAGATTGATGGCTCTAGAGACTGGAGGCCTTGAAGCAAACCATTTTGTAATATCTTTTGCAAAACGATGGGGTGTAAAAATGCTTCTTTTTCCTTTTTTTTTTTCTTCATTAAAAAAAAAAAAAAAGATGAGATGAGATTCTTGCATACATGCAGGAGTTGCAGCTGTAGAAGGGAAGGATTACTGTGAGCTGAGGAGTGCTGCCATCACAGCTGGTGGTACTGTGGGTTGTTTCCTGAATAGTGCTGCACCCAGCCCAGCATTCACCTTCAGGGAAATCCAACAATTGAGCTGCTTTAAGAAAGGTTATGACTGCTGTCATTATGGCTGCACAAGCCTTCAGCCAATGGACAGGGCACTGTCTGCCTGCCCAGGACTCCTCTGGAATGAATGAATGGTCCTTCTTCCTTTGGTCGTAGCACTATTGGTGCAGCATGCTGTGTTTGCCATAGCAAACCTCTTAGCATCTTTGGGATCTATGTAAATGCTGCTGCTGCTGAATTCAGCAGTTTCCTCTTTGAGACCTCTATTGGGTGACTTCCACGCTGCCCCCACAGCATCCTGCTCCTTGAAGTCAATGGGAACCTGGGTGTGGTTAGGAGTCAAGATCAGACCTGTAAGGAAACCGGGTGATAAGGAGAAGTGGATCAGTAGGAAATGCTCTTGGGGAACAACGTGTTCCCTCCCATAAATTAAAGACACAGGGAACGGCTAAGTGTATCTTCACTATGACACAAGAGACCATATTGTGACAGGATAATGACTGAGCTTTCTGAAAGGTTGAGTATACTGGTGCTAAATAAATGTCCCAAGCCACCAAATAAAATCCTTTCCTGGAGGAGAACATGCAAATTGGTGTGGTTGCTCCAAGGGTTTTCAGATCTCTGGTATGGTGTTGGCATGTCCTGTGGCAAAGCCCAGTCCCCAGCAAATTGACATGCTGCATACCATGTTCCGAATTGCTTGATGTGGCTGTTCAGGCTTCAGAGACTCAGCCCTAGGGAATGTGTTTTGCAGTGTCCATATCTTTGACAGCTTCTACTATCCATTGACTACTGACATAGCCGTGGCAGGTCACTGTGGAAATCACACAGAATCATTAAGGTTGGAAAAAACCTCTAAGATCAGTCCAACCCCCAGCCCATTCCCATGGGACCCCATCACCATGCCCACTAACCATGTCCCTCAGTGCTACGCCTACTCTTTTCTTGAGCACCTCCAGGGATGGTGACTTCACCACCTCCCTGGCCAGGCTGCGTCAGTGCCTCACTACTCCTTCTGAGAAGAAATTTTTCCTAATATCCAACTTGAATCAAACATGTCACCACTGTCCTTTTGCTTGCTGAGTTCATTCAACTAACCTTATTCCTACATCCTTACCGACTTCCATCTCCGTTGTTTTATGAGCCAGAGGAACTCAGCTTATTGTGGGTCGTAAGTTAGAAAAAGGTTGTCCACGGCATCACTGCAAATGCAAGAAAAATGTGCAGGAAGGTGCCCATGCATGCAGAGAACCAGAATGGAGAGGTAGAAATGGTAAATAAGAGTTCACATTTCCACTGGCAGAAGTCACAATAAGTCACAGTATTTGTGTTCGCTGTGCAGGCACAGGCTGACTCCTGGCCTTTGTCCCTGACAGACAGGTGGGCTTCCATGAAGCGTTAAAGTGGGAAATGCTGCTCCCAGTGCTCAATGTCACCACACACGTTGCCTGTGCTCGTAGCATTCCACGTGCTCCTCCCTTGTCCCTGTTACCAGGGCTTTGCTTCTGCTACCACCTCACCTCAGGACGCTCTGCAATGCTTATGGGGCAGTGCTGGTGGAGCTGTGCCTTGTGATACACTGTTTCATCATGTTGCTGGAGTCATGCTCAACAGCGGGGCCAATCAAAGAACTTTGGAATGCTCTGCAGATGGGAGATGTCCTACTGGGAAGATCAATCCACAGATCTCCTCTTTGATGGATCTAGCTGCAGGCAGATGCTTTCATGTACAGCAGCACCTTCCCAGACAGATTATTTCCTTGCTCACACTGTGTACAGCAGTGCAAGCCCTGGATAAACAGCTTCATATTGCAGCACTTTTATAAACGCTGTGACAGTTCTTTTCTCGCTCTGACGGTTTTCCTGTGGCAATGTTTTGGGACAGAGGAGGGAGAGAAGAGACTGGCAGTGACCCTCTGACCTGGCACATGCAATCCCAAGGTAACAAGGAGTGGTGCAGCAGCACACCTCCACCCAGCCCCAGCGCCAAGCACACAGATGGAAAGGAGGCTGAGCAAACACCCAGCGTGCTCACGGCTCAGAGAGGAGGCAGGAAGCTGTTTTGTCAGCATTTCCAGTTGGTTTCCTCAACATTATTCAAGTCAAAAATTCTCTACGTACAGCCACTTCCATTGCTGGGAGTGAAACGATAAGGATCAGAGGGAGCTTCGCTCAGACAGCCGTGCACAAGTGGTGTGTGGTTCCCATCGGCAGACGAGACGCATTGAGACACGTCGTGGTGCTGCCTTCTGTTACTCATTATCACATTTGCACCTGGAAACAGCACGAAACTACCACAGGGCCAAGTGTTACACATGCCAGCCTTCAAACAACCTCAGTAAAGAGAGAAAAGGACATCCCATTGCATATGCAGATGTCAGGCCACATGCAGAGACAATAACAAACCCAGCCCCTTGGCTCGTCATTACATTTTTATAAGCCTGCATTTTGGGCAGGAGTTTCTTCTCAGTGAGATTTTGTCTGGTTTCCATTTCCAACAAGCAAGACTAAAAGCAGTAAATTCCACCTCATCTCATCTGGCCTGACTCAGCCACATTCTTCAGCTTTATTTCTTTTTTATCTTGATGTCAGCTATTGACTACTGACATCCTTCCACGAGAGATCTCCTGGACGGTGCCAGTCTGGAGGAAACACCAGGAAGTGTGTTGTCGTCAGAGGGTTTATGAGCCTTTATGGTGACGGTTGCACCATGCAGCAGAGGTTGGCTGCAGCCGGCTCTGCCCCACAGCGTGCACCAGAGGGACTGCTCAAGAGGAATGGGGAAGGTGAAAAACTGCCCGAGGTATTTTCATTCTTCCATCCTTAGATTCCCACGTGAGCATTGCTGATGTTTATACCATTTGGCAGCCTCGGTTTTGGGGCATAGCATTCTATATGTCTATAATCATCTCTCCATCCTCCCTATACAGAAATTCAGTGACTTTCTGTAGCAATTTGGTCTCTTTATTGTTCTGATATTTGTTCTCCTGAAGTGCAGAAAGGTGATTTCATTCAGCTCCCCAGGTTAATGGCAGATGAGGAAGTGGGTGTGAGGCAGCTCATGTACGCACGGTGAAACCCGGTGCCCTTTCTATATATAGCCTTGCCTGAACTTTCATTCATCCTGTTGCTATTTTGGTACAGCAAACATTCCATCTCCTGGGGAAAGTGCGTTAGCAGTGCAGGTAAGCAGAAGAAAGTGCACATCAGTCACGCACGGAAATATTTAATGGCTCTAGAAACCTCTGCTGTTTCCAGAGAGCACAGAGAGCATCTACAACCAAAGCAATACCAGGGTGGAGCCTCCCTCGTACCTTCATCCAGTTAACAAGCAGAGCAGCATTTTGGGGGTAAACCCAAACATTCCCACTGATTCATTTTATTAAATTTTAAATCAAAGGACTATTTAAAATCTATATTCTCACTGAAACAGATTTTTCTGATGAAATGAATACTCTTGAGCACTTCTGCCATGCTCTGCCTTTTGAGTGAGAGCTAGCCAATAAGCATTAAAAAGCCATGGATGGGATTTTTTTGCCCTGGACAGGAGCTGGCTGTCAACAGCCCCTGGCTGCTTGGTCTGAATAACCATGCAGCCATCTGCAGCTGTTTGAAGTAGGAGCAGTGTTTGTCCTGAAACAAACTTCTGAATCACTGCTGCCCAGACTGTGCTCTAGTGGCATCCATTTCTAACACCAAGGGAGAACCTGCTTGTTGGATCCACTACACTGAGAGTGTCTCTAAGTGGGTAAATCAGGGATTTCTGTCCATACTTCAGCCAGCTTGCAATAAACAGCTTCCTCCATATTGTCATGATGTCTTAAATAATTCCTTTACTCTCTCATTATCTTGGCTAATGGATAGGTAACATTCTGAATGAACCCTGTGCTTCTTACGCCCACCAATGCACACATACTTGCACACTGAAGTGCCCTCTCACTGAACACTTCTGTGCGCATCAACAAGAATATCTGCTTACCAGACAGTGCCGTTGATTTGACTTGAAGCAAATCCATGATAGAAAAGTCTGGACATGATCTGATGTGGCCACTGACTCAACTTGTTAATACATTTGAAGTGAAGACATCGGACAGCCAGGTCCAGATACCCAAAGATCCTTTTCTTCCAGCAGGCATCAAGAACCTCATTATAACTAGGGGTCCAGTCCATCTCCCACAGTTTGGAAACATGCAGTAGTGTTCTGCTATAACTTCACATTATAACCAACAGGAGACCCCTGTATAACTTTCTGTTGGTCAGTTAAAGTGCAGCTTTTAAAATGACTAAAAACGATCAGAAAGGGAAAAATCAGTTTTCCCTTTTGCTTTCTTCATTCATCATCTTTACTGTCTCTTCCTCAGAGCACGTTCAAGTAACTTGAAAAACCTGTGCCAGGATTGGGAACGAAGGTTTTGATTCATTGCTAGTGAAGTGTAGAAAACCTGGAGCTGCAGGCCAGCCTACAGCCCAGGAACTCCTGAGTGCTTTGGGATATGTATCAGCATCAGTTGCAAGCATCTTTCTGGGGGACTCTTGAGTTGGTATCAGCTCCAAAACCTCCCTGTGTTTCGCTGGTGCAAGGGTTTGGGTATCGCTTCTGTCCCATCTTCTATCCTCCACCTATTTTTTCGCATCTCACATTTTCAAGATGATCTCTGTACCTCGGCTAGGACAAGGAGGAAGGAACACTGTGCCATCTCCCTTGTCCTCTTTCCAACTCCTGAGCCACAGATGTCAACATCTGCTGGTCAATAAATTAACCCACTGGTATTTCTTCAAGTTGTGGACCAAAATAGGAACTCCAGGAACCATTCCTGGAAAATACTGAGGGCACACAAAATTCTGTTTGATTCAAGCTTTACTTTATTAGGAAGACCCTGAATACATGCAATGATTCTATGACCCAGAGGATCTCCTTTCTACATAATGCGGGGATGATCACCCTCTCACCCTGTGGGAGAATAATACAGCAGAGCCACCAATCTCAGTCTGAAGAAAACTAAGAACCTGTTACTTCAACCTCTTCTAATTACATGTGGGTTTTTCTGAAAGTCTTCCATTGGATGGAATAACGAAAGACAGAACTCTGGTGACCCTACTCTGCAGGCAGCTGTGAACAAGTTTGCAAGTGCTTTGCTCAACAGGCACTGCACCTTCTCTCCATTCGAGGCTTAAGGTCTGAAGGCAGTCTCAGCAGCATACACTGGAAAGAGTGTTACCCTCTGACTATAAAGAAGATGTGTGTATCAATACTGCCATCTCTTTTGGCTTGAGCAATCCTCGACGTGGGGCGAGGTCATCATGCTTTCATGTGCTAGCCAGCAAGTGGATTCTCACACCCTTATCTGCTCTATGGGCTGAGGTGTCACTCTGTTTTCTCCTCTATCTGCATAACCAGGTGTTGAGCAACAAGAATGCCATTCCAGAACTTCTGACTGCCTTGGGTGTGTGCTCCTTGCAGGAGTTACTTCTGGGAATCGCTGTGAAGGGGCAAACACTATGGTTTCCAACAATTATGTTGCCGTACAGTGTGCATTTAAATGAATTGCATCATTTGGCCCTACATAATCCCTCCATTGTCGAGCAGCAGACACCTCTGCTATTTCAGCAGGGTGATCCAGCTCCTGGGAGCTGTGCGCTATTTGCGTGCCTGCAATGTTTATTTATAGTGTGTCCATGTGCCAGCGGGGAATTAGGGCTTATTTAACACTTTCCATTGTTTCCAAGTCACGGTAGCATTCATCAGACTCCCACAGCCCTGTGCCTTCATCACTCAGCCCCAGCACTCATTTCACTCAGCCGCATTCAGGACACATTCCGCGATGTGCCCTCATCAGTGCGAACTGCCGCACACCAGCTCCACCCTTACTGCAGTGCAGCAACAGTTGGCTGTGGGGCAGCAAAGCCTCATGCAAGAGGGGATACAGATACAGCTCAGATGTAAATAGAGAGACACCACGAAGGCTTTTTCCTACTTTGACTTCTCAAGGCTTCCGTGAATGATGAATTCAGCTGCAACAAGGGATGCCCCTCATTCAAACGCATTGGCTGGCAATCCTGCACTATATAGGTGAGATATACTCCTAGCACACTGTACAGCCACACTGCAGCTGGGCATTGTGCAATGGCCATTAGCACTAATGAGCGATGTGGCAGCTGTATGGTCTTTGTTTGGAGCAGAGCCTTCAGGAAGACAAGGGAGAAGATGGCAGTGTGAGTTGAAAGGGGAACGGATCAAAGGCACTGATTGGCATCAGTGTCTCGCAGCAGGGCAGGGGTGATCTGCAGGTATGGAGCAGGAAGAGGTCAGCTATAGCAAAGCATTGCACCGGAGGAAACTGGGAATGAGGAAGAAGGCTACAGACTGCACGTACACACTCTCACACTGCTTTGCAAGCCTGAGCAGTACTGCTTTCCATGGCTGAGCTGCAGGAGCACATCCAGATGTCTCTGCACAGCTCTGCCTCTGCAAGAGTTAGAAGGTCAGGGGGGTTGCATTCCGTTTTCTCCTTCAACTCTCGTGAGCAATGAGGGCATAAACAGAGCCCAAAGGCATCAGGCAGCCCAAATTTGGTCCTGTGTTTTCAGAAGTGCGTTACTGTGGCAGTCTTTCATCTCAGCGCTGCCCAACTCTCCTAAAGCCACCATGCCAGGTTTGTGTGCCATCCTGCCTTGGTACTGTAGTGCTGTGAGTGTATCTAAGCTTGCACATGTAATGGGGATCCTGGCTCAAGGATCCAACTCACATTAAGCACACATAGGGGCCTTCTGTGTGCATCACAGAATCATAGAATCACCAAGGTTGGAAAACAGCTCTAAGATCATCCAGTCCAACCATCCGTCTATCACCAATATTTCCCACTAAACCACCACCCTCAACACAACGTCTAAATGTTTCTTGAACACCTCCAGGGACAATGACTCTACCACCTTCCTGGGCAGCCCATTCCTGCACCTGACCACTCTCTCGGAGAAGTATTTCTTAACATCCAACTTGAATCTCCTCTGGCACATCACTGCCATTTCTACCTGCTCCCATCACAGCAAATTGGGTGCTGGTATCCACGCAGCCAATCTGAGTGCTATTCAGATCAGCACATTGAGACTATGGTGTGTGCATGTCCAAGGGCAGCAGGTGAGCATGGCAGTATCTGAGCTTTGCAACAGCAGCTGCTTGGGTCTGCAGTCGCAGTCACTGAAGAAGGGCGCAGGCAGAGAGAGCTGGGGCTGTTCCAGCCTGGAAAAGAGAAGGCTCAGGGGAAACCTGAGAGTGCCTTTTCGATATTTTAATGGGGACAGACTCTTTAGTAGGATCTGTTATGATAAGAAAAGGGGGAATGGTTCCAAACTAAGAGAAGAGATTTACACTAGACACAGGGAAGAGTTTTTTTACAACACAAGTGGTGAGGCACTGCCACAGGCTGCCCAGAGAGGTGGTGAATGCCCTGTCCCTGGAGACATTCAAGGTCAGGCTGGGGGAGTTCTGAGCACCTAATGTCGCTATAGGTCCTTGTAGTCCTTGTTCACTGCAGGGAAGTTGGACCGGGTGGCCTTTAAGGGTCCCTTCCAACTCAAATGATTCTGATTCTATGAAGATTTGGGGATTAGCTGTGATTTTTGCATTTAAGTATGGCTTCTCCTCCCACAGCACACAGCTGCCATAGAGACAAAGGCAGTGCCACTCCAGATGACTGAGCAATTGGCTGTGATGTTGGAGTGAAGGTGTTTGAAGACCTATGCATTTGGTCACGGACTCACTTTTCCAGGTTTGCATGCAGCACATTCCTCTGCTGTGTCTCTTGTGTCTTCTCTTCAATGTCAATCACTGGGCACAGCTGTGTAGGTTCCTTGTTTGTTTTGGAGGCAGTGGAAGTGTTGGAGGAGCTGTACTGTGCAGGAAGCAAAGCCGCTGGTGCAGCTCTCAAAGGGGGATTAGCGTGTCAGACACATGGGGAAGCCCTATCCTAATTGATGCTGTGCGTGCTCCCTCAATAGGAGGAGAAAATATGTCTGGTATTTGTCCAAGCTTGTTGGAGGGCAGAGAGAAGGGCAGGCACAGTGCCCAGCAGTGGGGTGGGCGTTGCAGCACCTGGGGTGGTTTCTCCCATGAGCAATGGCTCCTCCTCTCATTTCCAGGTGAACAGTTCACAAAAAATTCACACTGACAGCGCATGGAGCTCTCAAAGCTGTGGGAAGAGGGATGCAGTGGCACAGCTCAAACTCAAAGCACAGTACTTCTGCCTGCTGTTCTTCACAGCCAGTAGGAAGAACAAGCAGCATCCCCAGGACTGGATTCATTTGAATTAGTTCAGAAATCTCCTTTTAAATGAATATCTCTATGGAGATACCTTCTCCACTGTCCAAAACAGCAAATATAAGCATGGAACCATCTGCTCCATACAGGAGCATAGGTCACTTTGGAGTCCATCTCTATAGATAACTCAGTACTTCAGAGTCCACCGAAGACCACAGTGGATAAACCAAATGTATATAGCAGCAGAGATTTAGCAGCTTCAGGGTCTCACATGATCTAGAGGTTGGATTTACTAGAATCTTGCCTCTTACTAAAGAAAGAACAGCACCCCCTGAGGGCCCACACGCAGCACAGCAATGCAGCATCACCCCAACGAGCCCAGAGGCTGCAGCTCCAGGAGCTGCACCAACCCCAGTAGCCTCAGGCTGCCCGTCTGTGGGAAGCAGCTGCTGTGCACAGTGCTCTGTGTGAAGCTATGGTCAGTGTGAAACTGTGCTCTGGTGTAACACTCTGGACCCATCAGCAGCACGCACCAGAGAAGGTCAGCAGAAATTCTCCCATCACTTTTGTTTCTGTCACCAGGGCACTGGTCGTTTGCTTCTCCCTGGCCACAGAGCATGACTGGAAGAGGTCAGAATTGTTCAGCTACAGCCATGTGTAGCATAACCACGTCGAGAATATAAAAAGCAGAACATCTGGGTCTCAGGTGAGAAACCGCATTCTTTTTTTCTCAGCAAATTATATCTTAGAGACATTTTCGTATTGACAACTGATTCCTTAAAGTTTTTGCTCTCAGCCCTAAGGAAGTGAAAATTGTATTAAGGAAAAAACAGATTCATGCCTCGGTCAGAAATCCTCATCTTCTGGGATGCTGAGGAGCACTCAAAGCATTTCCAAGCCAGCAAGAACCAAGAGTGCCCCATCTCCTATGTCAGAGATGCTTGCATGGATTTTGCACACATATAGCTGCATTACACCAAGCATTTTTCTGTTGGTCTGCAGAAACATACCACATTGTGGTACCAACTCTGCAGCAGTCATTGGACTGCTTTTCTGCATCTGCTTTTCCATATAGCACACAGAAACCCCAATTCCTGAATGTGGAACATGGAGCTGCCACCACAAACAGCAACCAGCCACACAGAGCTCAGCTGGGAATTTCCCATTGATGCAGAGGAGGAGGGGATGGCAACTTTGGGCTCTGCTCCTTGTGGTGGTCACAGACATCTGTAGGGAATGACAGAACCCCGATGCTTCTGTGGAGGAAATGTTTTCTGGATTGATGCTGTTCTCCTTCTCCCCTTAATTTATAAATAGCAGAAAGCAGCAGCATCCCAGCTATGCATTTGGTGGGCGTAAAGGAATGACTCATTAGTCTAATGGAGAGTTATCTGGTCAATAAGTGCTTAAATAAGATTAGATGACAATGAGTCACTACAGATTGTAGGCTTGGGTGGCACTGGTGCAGGTACCACTTTGTTGGGGATCAGTGTAGGGCAGAGGTGAGGATGGGTTCAGGGAAGGTGAGATGCTGTTTTATAGCTTAAATACAGAATCGTACCTATAAGATACAGTCACCAGGCTCTCCTGTGTTCATTTCACCCAGCAACATCATCCAACAAGGTCAGTTCTGCTGAATCATAGAAAGAGAGAATCATTAAGGTTGGAAAAGACCACTAAGATCATCAAGTCCAACCACTGGAGCTACACAGCTGTTTCCCTCGAGGAGCCACCTGTGATTGAATGCATGCAGTGGCCCTCAGTGGTCCCATGCAAGGAGGATGCAGTGCCCCTTGTGCCCATGCCTCATTACCGAAGGAATGTTGAGTGTGTTCCCTGAAGTCCAGGGCAGGGACGTCACCTGGGGGCTAGAGCTGATGTTTTCAGAAGATCTTGTGACTTATGTTGGGCAAGTATGGGCTTCAGGTCACAATCTCATGCTTCTAGAGCAATCCATGGTTCCAATACTGTTCTGAGGAGGAGGACTGTGGCCTCCTGCTGAGATATTTTGGTGTTCAGCAGCCACGAGATCCCAGATCACTTGCTGCTTGTTAGAGCCCTGGCCTGGAATTTCTGATGGATGTGAGAAAGTGAAATGACCCTGGCCATCAAGCAAGTCCTCCCAGGATGTGAGGGAGTTGCACAACCTTACAGGCATCATTACACAACAAACTGCATCTGCTCTGGGAGAAAAGTCTCCACCCTGGAGCATGGTCTGTACCACAGCTCTGCTCACAGTACTTTTCCAGGACTGGACTGGACCATCAGTCCAAAGTGCCACACATACAGCAGGATGCGGTACCTGGATGAAGTCATACGCACTGCCTCGTGATAAAAGGGCACACAGGTCTATAGGGCACATTGCTCAACTCTCCTGGTGCCTTTCTGTATTTGGAGCAGCCACTTTCTTGGAGAACTGCCCAAAGTATCTAGTGAGGAAATGGCTAAACTAAAGATCTTGTTGGAGCAAACGCCTGCAAACAAACTGCAACACAAGAGCTCTACTGCCTTAATGGACACACGAAGCAGATGAGCATACAGGAGAACATGGCATAGCTGGGTGTCCTGGCCCAGCTCTGCTTACTGAAAGGCCACAGTAGAACATCAGCAATGCATCCCTGCTGTGTCTGCACACTTTCGACTTTCTGTTCTACTGCTTTTAGGTACAAGTTTGGCATTTGGCACACATTTTACATCCATCCCTCTGTGCTTATTATGGACTCAAAAACTCTTCATTAGGTGGGCATAGAATTAACTTTTTTTCTTTTTTCCACAGAATGTGATGAATCTGAAAGTAGCAGTCAGGACACAGCTGTAAAATTTGACATTCCCCATTACCAGAAACTCAAACCAAGCTCTTCATGCTGCTCCTGTACCAGGCTTATACCTACAAGAAATGCTCACAGCAAAAATGCCTCAAAGATCAGCACAGTATGAGGAAGGACTAGAGCTCACCCTCAGCCCTCTCTGCTCTATAAATTGTTCCAGATGTGACAGATCCAACTCAATATGGCTTAGAGGCAAACAAATCCCAATGAATGGTTATTGTATTGGCAACATTCAGACATTGCTGCCAGCAAGACTATGGGAAAGAAAGAGGCAATTAGAGAAGATCTGCACAGTTTCAAGGGAGTGGTGAGTGCTTTGTGATGAGGCACTTGGACATGGACATGTGAGGAACCAAGGACAGTAAAGGATCGAACATTCTTAATGTGTTTCTTAATGCTTCTCGGCACTGCAAGGAGAGCATTGGTGGGTGCTGTGGCATGAAGGTGAGTGCTCATATGCTGTAAGTCAGGCAAATATTTCAGCACTTAATTAAAGGTCTGGAGCAGCACAAGTTTCATAAACAATAACCCTGTGTTTCACTGCAGGATGCTTTCATAGTTCTGCATTGGAAAGATGTGATCCCATGGGCAGCATTCAACATTGAAGAAGCTCCTTCAGTGGGGTTTTGTCTATATTGTGTTCAAGGCTAACAAGCACCGAGGGTTCTTTTCCTTGTGCTCAGTGGGCAACAATCATTTCATCAAGGCCAATGGCAAAAAAGGTATTTTATTGCCATGGTGCAGATGAAGTA